TGAAGGGTCCTGGGTTTGATTCTGGCCAAAGGCACATGCCCGGCTTGTGGGCTTGATCCTCAGTAGGGGTCATGCAGGAGGCAGCCGATCAGATTCTCTCTCATCATTGATGTTTTATCTCCCTCTCCCATCCCCTCTGAAATCAGCAAAGAAATACATTTTTTTAAAAAAAGGAAAGAAACCAGTGAGGAGGCTGTGGCAGTAATTCCAGTTATGGATGCCATTGACTCAGACCAGGGTGCCAACAGAGGAAGTGGAGTTCAAAGGAGTAGCTCATAGCTTGCTGATGGGTTAAGTATGAAGGGTGAGGGAATGAGCAGTATCTGGTAGGTGGTTCCCTGCAGATGCCAGGGCCCCTTCTCCTTGTTGGAGTCTGGGGCTGAGCCGCCATCCATGGCACTGACCAGGGTGGCATGGTCTACTGTGGTCAGATCCCCAAGCCTGACCTTTTGCCTCTCTTCCTTTCTGGCCAGGTCTCCCCTGCCAAATCCACCCCAGCCCGCTGAAGCGCTCCATGTCGCTCATTCCCACGAGCGCCCAGGCCCCTGGTGAGTGGCCGAGTCCAGAGGAGCTCGGGGCCCGAGCTGCTTTCACCACGCCCGACCACGCACCCCTCTCGCCCCAGAGCAGCGTGGCCTCCTCTGGCAGTGAGCAGACGGAGGAGCAGGGCTCCAGCCGGAACACTTTCCAGGAGGATGGCAGTGGCATGAAAGGTATAATGGGAGGGCAGTGCTAGGACCCTCCAAAGGTTTCTGCAGAGCTTAATGGACAGAAAGGAGCTTGTAGCTGCCACCCTGCCTATCCTATCCCCCCAACCTTCAACTTCCCCTCCCAGGGAAGGGAGAAGTCCGAGGGGAGTAGAAGTCCCTGTCCTTTGGGTTCAGACTGATCTGAGAGACCACCACAAACCCTGGTCTGATGCCCCTGCCCTCAGACACCACAGTCTGATAAGAAAGCCAGGACACAGAGGTAACTGATAGAACAGACTCCTGACCTTATGCCCTCCCTCCTTTTCCAACAGATGTGCCCTCATGGCTCAAGAGCCTCCGCTTGCACAAGTACGCAGCCCTTTTCTCACAGATGAGCTACGAGGAGATGATGACACTGACTGAACAGCATCTGGAGTCTCAGGTAAAGCTCAGGGGACCATCAGGATAGAGTTAGGGTACTATTTTGACACTATCCTTGTGACCTGAGCCTCCTCCAGCTCTTTGAGCTTTGTTGGGGCACCCTAAGTACCTTGACCTGCTATTTCCAGCCTCCTGTCCCCTTCTGCCCTACCACAGAATGTCACCAAAGGTGCCCGCCACAAGATAGCCCTGAGCATCCAGAAGCTGCGTGAGAGGCAGAGCGTCCTCAAGTCCCTGGAGAAGGTGAGGACCTGGTATTCCCCATTTCCACGGTTAGTTGGCTGCCCAGGGGTACCAATAGACTGAAGGCTCTGGGGCATCCTTGCTACCCATGTGGCCTCTCCTCAGGACCTCCCCAGCCCTCGGGTCTGATCTGCAGTGGCCTCAGCCTTAGGGAACCAGACTCTGGGGACCAAGTATAAGTTGGATGACAGGGCTCACTTGATACCTCTGTCCTGGGCTCCCTGTCTGTCTGTCCTGGTGTGTGTCCCCAGACTGTCTGTTGACAATCTCCTCTCTTTCACTCCCATTTCTGACTGGTCTTTCTGGTAGAGCAGAGCATCTCCCTGGGTGCATGATCTCTCCATTTGGTTTGTTTCCCATCTACTCACTCCTTCCATATCTGTCCAATTGCATTCCTTTTACCCCTTCCTTGCCACTTGGCTTCTGGGTTTACCCCCTCAGTTCACAGTCCAGATTTCTACATCCGAATCTGGTTCCACCTTTGGTGGGACCGAAGGCCCCAGGATTAGACCACCTTCTCCTGAGCTCCCTGGGACTCCACCTTGAAGGGGGAAGAGGGAATGTGTAGTACAAATGTGTACCTGTATATGTGGACTTGTGGTACCTTTACCTTCCTTCTCTATGTGCTGGAACCCAGGTTCCTGCCAAGCACTCTCCAAGCCCTGTCTGACCGCATTTGTGTAGTCCTTCTACATAAATGTGGGGTCGGCATGTGACCCCAGCGATGCCCTCCCATGCAGGACGTGCTGGAAGGAGGAAACCTGCGAAACGCTCTGCAGGAGCTGCAGCAGGTCATCGTCACCCCGATCAAGGCCTACAGTGTTCTCCAGGCCACTGTGGCCCCCACCCCCACCACCTCCACCTCGACTGCCAGGGATGCAGGCCAGGGGGAGCCACTGCTGCCAGGTGCTGAGTCTCCCCTGGCTCATCCCAGCACAGACAAGGGCACTGAGGCCAAGGATCCTCCAGCTGCAGAGAGCTACCCCCCTCCACCAACTCCAGTTCCCACTGATGGCAGCGAGCCAGCCCCAGCTCCCGTTGCTGACGGAGACATTCCCAGCCAGTTTACACGGGTGATGGGCAAAGGTGAGACCGCCCAGGGCCCAGCAAAAAGTTCTGGGACAGAGAGCCAAGTGAACTTAGGCATGAGGAGTCAAATTCAAGTTAAATAGTGGAAGCAGAACTTTTTAAAGAACCCTGGGGACTAGAACACCATAGAGAGTGACTTGAGACTGAGGTGGCAAGGTCCCTGCCCTCTAGTGTGTCCTGGCTGGTGGTGGGAGACAATGCTCACACTCAAAGCATCTCCAGCCTGAGAAGAAGAGAACAGTATGTCAGTGGAAACCACATACAGTACAGAGTGAACAGAAAGAGAATTGTTGGTTCTCTCAGAGGTGACTGAAATCCACAGATGAATATGATAAAGCTCTCAAAGGGCAGCATGACGGCATACTTTACACTTGGGTCTAGATCCCTTTATCTGTGTGACCTGGGACACACTCAGCCTCTCTGAGCCTCAAGGTTCCTCATGCTAAAAATGCCGGTTGATGAGATTCTTATAAGAGTTAAAAGGAAAAACGGTATCATTGACCTCATATCTGCCTTATGCCAGGCACTATGCTGGGTGCTTTATGTATCTTCATAAGCCAGGTATCATGCTTGGCACATAACTAGTACTCATCCAGCCTGAGTTTCTTGTCTCTCTTTCTGTGGCAGAAGGCATGCTGGGGGTTAACCTCCTACCCTTTCCTATGTCCCCAGTGTGCACCCAGCTGCTGGTGTCTCGACCAGATGAGGAGAACATCACCAGTTACCTCCAGCTAATCGAAAAGTGCCTGACTCATGAGGTGAGTCCTTCCCTAGAGCTCCCAAGAAGAGCAAGGTGACCCCATCACTGTCAGAGCCAACATTCCTTATGTGGCCAATGGGCGCTACCTGGCTGGCTTCTGCCAACTTCTCCAGCCCTCATCTCACCACCTACTGGCCCCTCAGCTCCCAGTTCAAACGTTTGTACCTCAGGGACACCTTCACTGGCCGCTCATACTAGATAAGTTTCTTGTGCCTTCTGTGTTTCTCCCTCACAGCACTCATCACTCATCTCCCCAACTACACTGTAAGCTTCATGTGCACGGGTAACCTCTGCGTCCCAGCATTGCCTGGCACAGAGCAGGCAGTAGATAAATATTTGAGCAAATGGACAGAAGGCAGATCTGAAAGAAACACCCCCTCCCTGCTTAAATTCCCTAATTGTATCTAGGCTTTCACGGAGACACAGAAGAAACGGTTGCTGTCCTGGAAACAGCAAGTGCTGAAGCTCCTCCGAACCTTCCCGCGCAAAGCCGCACTAGAGATGCAGAACTACCGGCAGCAGAAAGGGTAGGCAGGCAGCCGGGTATGCAGGCCGTCCCTCCCTAAGCCCTTGCTGATTGACAGCTAGTGCTTAGAGGGGTGATTGCATTCTGGGCTGGGAATCCAATGGGACTCATTCAATCACTGGGTGACTTACACACATCACCCAGTGAAGACTTTTCCAGAAGAAAATCAGGATGTTCTTATTGCTAAAATAGGATACTAGGCAGGCAAAACCAGATCATGTCCTGATAGCAGACCCTTGCCTGTCCCTGTTCTCTTCACCTTGTGTGCAGAGGGCTCTGAAGTCCCTTCTCACTCCCAAACAAATAACAGGAATATCACACATGCGTATTGAAGTTAGGAGAACTGCTTTGCTTGGAGATGAGGAACATTTCCTGTCTCTATCTTGGGGAACCCCTTGGGCAGGAGGAGACAGAATGTGTGGTGCAGGAACTTGGACAGGAAATCTTTGCTCAGAGCAGGTCTGTGCTGTGTCCTACCCATTGGGATTGTACAGGAACGTGAGGAGGGGTGGAAAGATGGGCCCTATCCACCTAAACTGACACCCTGCCTTCTGCTCTCTCACAGCTGGGCGTTTGGCTCCAACTCACTCCCCATAGCTGGCTCTGTGGGGATGGGGGTGGCCCGGCGGACCCAGCGGCAGTTCCCAATGCCTCCCCGGGCCCTTCCACCCGGCAGAATGGGCCTTCTAAGCCCCTCGGGCATTGGGGGCATTTCCCCCAGACATGCCCTCACCAGCCCCAACCTTGGGGGCCAAGGCCGACAGGTGAGCGGCTAGATATAGAGGGCCTGGTGCTTCTGGGGTTGAGGTGGGTGTTGGTGCCTGGGATGTGTGTGTCCGTATCTTTGATCTGGGCCTGGATTAGAGGGGAGGGGCTCCTTTGCCAGTTCCATTACTCCTGGGCCTGGGTCTCCACCACTCACCCACTTTTTCTCTTCCCATGCCCTTTTCAGAACTTATGGTTTGCCAATCCTGGAGGCAGCAACAGCATGCCCAGCCAGAGCCGTAGCTCTGTGCAGCGCACGCACTCGCTCCCAGTCCACTCCTCGCCACAGGCCATTCTCATGTTCCCTCCAGGTAAAGTGCCCAAGCCCTTGGGATTCTGCCTGCACAACACCCTTAGCTGGCCTTTATCTTCTCTCCTATTTCTTTTACACTCGAGCACCTCTCCCCATCCTTCCAACCTCCTCTCATCGTGGGTTTTCTTGTACTCTTCCCCACCCCCATTTCAATTTTCTCTCTCAGATCTTTTCTTCCTTTCTCTCTTGGTTTTAAATATGCATTTCATCTTGTGCAGGGGCCATACTAATCTCTGTATCATTCCAGTTTTATTACATGTGCTGCCAAAGCGAGCACTGCCTTCCTTTCTCTTTCTTCTCTCACCCCTTACTTCTACTCCCACATGTCCACATCTCTCCCTGTCGTAATTTTGGTATCCATGTCGGTCTCTGTCACCATCTTTTTAGAGGATCATTAAATACTCAGTTTGAAAGGGGTTGAGGGGATGAGAGTCAAAGCAATGAGGTTTTTTTGGAGGTGTCTATCAATCTGGCATTCTTTCAGAAGCCAGGTGACCATTTAGCTCTTGGAACAGATTTTTCTTGGATCAAACACCTAAAGGGTGTTTGAGTTGCAGGAACTGTTTTTCCTGTGCTCACAGACCAGCCCAGAGATAGATCAGAATGAGGGTGAAGAAGACAGAAGGGTAGAGAAGTGTTAGCCCTACCTTGCTCAACCAGTGAGGATGACGCCTCCTGTGCCAAGTCCATTGCTGGGCACCGAGGCTGCTGAGGCAGATAAGGCTACTCTGGAATGGCTACTGGAGAGACCTTAGATATGCAGGTGACCCTAAACTCTTCATGTCATAAACTGCCAAATCAGTAGGTATTCTTAATTTATAAGATAATGTGGACTGCCATCTGTTGAAGGTAAGAGACCCTGTTAGTTGTGTTCATCCTTGCACAGGGCCTACCACCTTTGTCAGACAGTTTTACTGCACTGTTTAATCAAACCCTCCCAACTGCAAGTGAGGCACTGATTTCATTCCTATCTGATCAATCACAAATCTGAGACACAAACAGGTAACTTGCCCAAGGTCAAAAGGGAAGACAGGCAGTCTGACATGGCCTGAGTTCAGGGTTCAGAGGGGACATGATGAAAGGTGAAGCTGGAGGTGGGAGCAGGGTCTTTTAAACCCAGGTAAAAAGCTCAGATGTAAGGAGCCAGGAAGGGTTTTAAGCAGTGTGGGGTGTGTCTGAGTCCGCCCAGGGAGGGGGCTGTCTCCCAGACTCCAGAAGAGGAAGCCCTTTTGAGAGGTGGTTTGAGGATAAGCTCCGTGGCTGCTGCCCTGGTTTGCCCCATCTGTGTGGCCTGCCCGGATCGAATCCATCCCAGAGGAGAAAGTCCAAGAAAGAATGGGAAGAGTTCTAATTAAGCTTCTAAATGAAGTATAGAGCAGGTCATCAGTCAGGGAACACAGTGGCTGCCCAGCACCCACAGCAGATACCCAGACTGTGCCCAAGAAGACAACGTATAGTATGTGTCCAAAATAGTCACAGGCTGTGTGGCCTCCAGGAAGCTCCCTCAGCTTCACATTACTCTGTCTACAGGTCAAGCTTTCTATTTGTTGGCCAAGCCTCTGCCCTTGCCATTTCTACCTGCTTTTTTTTTTTTTTTTTTTTTTTTTTTTTTTTTTTTACAGAGAAGAAGGGAGAGGGATAGTTAGAAACATTGATGAGAGAGAAACATTGATCAGCTGCCTCCTGCACACCCCCTACTGGGGATGTGCCCGCAACCAAGGTACATGCCCTTGACCAGAATCGAACCTGGAACCCTTGAGTCCGCAAGCTGACGCTCTATCCACTGAGCCAAACCAGTTAGGGCTCTACCTGCTTTGTGATACACCCAGGCCTGTCTCTGTCCTTTACCTCTGCCTATTTACACCTTCCATCCGAGTGTGTGCCTGTCTCATGTGCTGTTTCTCTCTCTCTCCCTCCTTTTCCCCCTTGTCTCTCCCAGCCTCTCCCCAATGCCAGCCTATCCTGTCCTTTGTCTTCCTAGCTTTACTCTCCACCTAAGTCCAGTCCTTAACACCTTCATTCTCCTCTGTCCCATACAGACTGTCCGGTCCCTGGGCCTGACCTGGAGATCAACCCCACTCTGGAGTCTCTGTGTCTGAGCATGACAGAACACGCCTTGGGTGGTGAGCATTTCCTCTTTCCCTGACCCAGCTCCCACCTACCCAGCAGCGTCTCCACCTCTGAACTGAGCAACTCATAGTCATCCTTGAGGGGGCCCTCGGGGAGGCTGTACTTCAGGGAGGACCTGACTGGGATGGCAGGCTACCTGAGCATCTTTTCTCAAGCCTCCCACCAGCTCCTGATCTTCCTCCCTTCCTCCCTTTCTTACCACAGATGGGACAGACAAAACCTCCACCATCTGACGGGACCCACAGCCCAGCGCACCCATAGGCTCCCTGGGCGGCGGGCGGGGGCCAACCCCCAACGGGCTTCTCTGCGACAGCGAGAGGGTGGGCTGGCTCAGCTATACATTCTAATATTTTTCTACTCTCTCATCCTTTTAACTTTTGTTTAACATTGGCACCTGCCTTGCTCACTCTCGGGCCCATTGAGGGATCTCTGCCGAGGCCCAGGAAGGTAGGGGGCAGCCAGAATAAAGGGGGCAGGAGCTTGGCCAGCCTGCCTGCCCCCCTTTCCTTCCTTATAGCTCATCTGGCCCCATCCCACCCCTGCTTCCTCCAGAATGTTCACCTGCCCCTCCTGAGGGAGCAGCTCCCTCATCCCCTGAGACTCACTGACCCACTATCTTATGGGGCCTGCTCAGAACCATCAGACATTTGGGGAGAGACAAGCTGGGTAAGATAACCTGCTCTCCTGAATATTATTTTGAGAGGCGCTAAGGAGAAGGTAGGTGAGGAGAGGAATCTTTCTCCTCACCACCTTCTTCTCCTTCCCAATTTCCATCATTCCCCGAGGACAGGAGCCATCCTCTTCTCACTCACCTCCTTTTGCCCTGTTTATCAGAGGTTCTCTACAATTAATTTCTTAGGCCTATTTAAGATACATATTTATATAGTTCTTAACGGTTTTTCTCTGATCATTCCCTCTCATTTTTAGAATCCCCAGGCCTCTTTCTGAGCCAAGAAAGTGGCAGGGGGAACCTGAATTTTATGAGGGGAGAGGGGCAGAGCCCCCTCCTCCAGACCCCCTAGCTCTTCCCCACTTCCCCCCAGCCTTGGCTCCCCAGATGCATAAGTTGAAGGTGGGGAGCCAGGACAGCCAATGAGGTCAGGAAGTCTGTTGCCTTAACATCCCCTTCCCCCATCAACATACTCTTCACTCCCAGGTCTGGTTGCTGAAAGACTTGGGGGTAAGGAATAAGGGAAAGGGGATTGTTTGGTTTTGGTTTCTTTCCCCACCCCCTTTCTCTCATCCTTCCCCCACTCCCCATTATGTCATGACCTCATTAAGTGGAACACTATATCATAACCCAGAGATTCCCCCAGCCCTGGAGTCATACAGAGCCTCTGGTCCCTGTTCCTACTGCTGGGTTGTGCTGGGGCCCAGGTGGAGGGAGGGGATTTGAGGGTTCAGGTTGTGGGGAAGCCAGGGTCCCCTATTCCAACTCCCTCCCCCCTCAACCCTCCCATACACACTGGGACATTCTCAAGCTTTTCACACCGAAAGGGAAAAAATGTTATTTTTAGATACATTTTATGAATAACTTTTGTTATGAATATGGCTGGTAACCATTGTGTATGTTATTAAAGATGTTGGGAAAAAACAAAAAACCAAAAAAATTTTAAAACCACCGCCCTCCCAGCACTCTCACCCCATTCCCCTATTTTTGCCCCTGCCCTCCAGGTCTGGACCTCCCTCAACTCTGAGCCCAGGGAGAGGGAAAAAGCCTGGGGGAGAGGGGGTGTAGCCCTGGGGACCTGCTCCAGGTCCCTACCTCCTCTCCCAGTGCCGGGCTGGGTGGGGTGTCAGGTTTATTTATGTACCTCTTGCACACTCATCAACCTATGCAAGTCCCCCACCCCGGCCCCTCCATGTTTCTGTGCCTTTGCTCATTCCCCTCAAACTCCCAGGGCTTCCCCAATTCCCCTCCCACTAGCCCAGGGAAGTGGGATGGACAGGGGCCACCTCGTTTGGAATCTGCAGGGTGTCCCTCTTACAGGACCCTCACCTCCTCCCAGCCAGTCCCATCTTGTTCACTATTCATCAGGGTGAGCTGGCTCTGCCTGGCACTGGGAGGTAGTGAGGGACACTCTCCCGCCCAACATACACACACAATGGGAGGCAATGCTGCCTCCCTCCCCCAACCTGACCGGAGTGTGCAGGACGCTGGCGGCCTCACTCTGATGGGCAGGACCCTGACCCTCCAGCTCCAGCCCCTCCTCGGCCCCCAGACACTCCCCGCCCCCACCCCCACCCACCCCCGCCATGATTTCACCCTCCCTTCTATCCCCAGCCCCACTGGCAGAATCAGCTTTGAGTAACTGTACAGTTTTTCTCGCTGTTGGAGATTTATTTGTTGGCGTTTCACTTGTTTAATGGTCTGGGCTTATTTTGGAAAAAAAAAAAAAAAAAAAAAGAAACAACATAACAAAAAAAGGATTCTGATCTTTGTTATGCTACATTTCCTTGGAAACCTGGGCCTTTGCTTCTATGCCGTTTAGCTGAGGCCACTGAGTACCGGGGAGATGGAGAAGCTGATGGAGTGCGAGGGGGGCGATGTAGACAGAAGGAGACCATAAGGACTGGGAAGGGGAGAAACTGGTTTTATTAACAGCAAAGGGTTGGAGGAGAGAAGGGAAACAGTGAAAAGCTCACAAATACACCACAGAAAAGTGCCTTCCTGCACAGAATCACCATATCTGCGCCGGCCCTGACAGGACTCAGTCACTGTCACTGTCTGCCTCGCTGGAATCAGAAGCTGGGGCTTCACTGCCATCCTCCTGGGCTGAGTGCTCACTGCCACTGGGGAAGGGACTGGCGCTGCCACTGGGGCTGCGGCTGGGACTGGGGCTCCGCTGGTCACCTCCATCGCTGCCACTCTCTGAATCATTGTCACTACCATGGGCCCGTCCTCTGTCTTCGTCATCAGAGTCGGCGTCCTCTGAATCCGCATCACTGCCGAAGATCTCCTCTTTGTCCCGGGCAGCTCGGGCCTCATCCTCACTGCTCTCCTCGCCGCTACCACTCTTGTCACTTGCTTCATCCCTATCACCCTCTTCCCGCTCACTCTCACTGCCTGAGCGCTCATCCTCACTGCCTTCTTTCTCACTGCTGCTGTCCTTCTCTTGCTCCTCATCTGTTGAGGGAACAGAAAGAAGTGAGACCCAGTTTTCCACCCTCCCAGGGTTTCCAGGGATTAGCTTATGCAGCTTTACCTGAGCCCCCAGCTTCTTTCTCTTCTGTCTCCATTTCCTCTTCCTCCTCTTCCTCAGGTTCATGGTTCTCCAGCTGGGCCTTCCGTGCCTCCTGGGAAGCAGCAGGAGGGGAGGGAAAGTATTCTATCAGGCTTCTGTTTCCCTCTTTACCCACCACCACACTCCCCATGGGTTCCCTGAACCAATGGTAATTGTTACCTGGGCTTCTAATTCCTTCTCGTTCATGTCCCGGTGTTTGACCACAAGCAGGGCATTGGTACCCGACTGAACCCCAGCCTTGGCCCTGCGCTTACTTAGGCGGACCCTGCAGTGGGCAAGTTGGGAGAGGGGTGAGGAAGATGCAGTTAAAAACCCCAGTGAGGGGTATGGTTCAACTTGGTTCTTCAATTCCTCACCAATGTTTAGCCCAGAACAGATAAGAATAAATACAGATTTAATAAGGGAGACTAAACTCTGGTTTGGGGCAGACGAGGGGAAAGGTTATTGCTCCCAAGATACCAATTTGATTGCTCTGCACTTTATAAAGTGTGTGTATAGACTTTAATGTGAATTAGTTACCAACACTTATAAAAACATAGAACCTAGATCTCTGGTTTAGGGAAAATATGAATCTATGGCCCCGTTACACAGGCCTCTTAGCCTTCTATAGCAATGTCTGCAATGGGTTGGAATCTTGTTGAGCTGGATTGTGGTGCCCCTTAGAGAGTGCCAAGAGCTCTAGGTCACCCAGACCCCACCAGCCCATTGTGCCTTCTTTCACATTTCCTCATTGGCTTACAGGATCAGAATTTGTAATCTCTACTTAAAATTCAAGGTCACACTTTTTCCCAACCCTTATACCAAAGGCCCCAGCCAAAAATAATCTTTTAGCCATCAGGGAAAAGTTTTGGGGTCACATTTTTTTAACTTGGGTATCCAGGATTTCATTTTAAATATGCTAATTTTATGTATAATCCCATACTTTAGCTATGTTTACTTTCACATGAAGTCTCTTAATATCAGGAAATTGGCTGTCTACCCTGCATAAAAGGTCTAAATATCTCTAGTGGGTTACTGTGTTAGAAACAGATCTAGCCCACATGCATGAGCAGGCTTCTGCTAGTCGCTTACAAATGCATGTGACAAATCCTTAGGTACAAATGACCTCCAAGGTGACATATCCTAGGGTCTTGACCCTGAAGCATGGGCCCAGGCTACTCTGAGGTGGAAATCTGAGGTATATGCGCTGAGTACCTGGTCTCCAACTCATTGTAGTAAACTCCATCACCCTCTCGGAAGATGAAGAAGTAGTTTTCCTCATAACCCTTGCTAGCTTTGTTCTTCACATTCCAGTTGTACTCCCGAGCAATCTTGTAGTCATATCTGAGGATGAGGGGGACAGGGTTAGCCCCATTTCTTCCCTTTGAGGGAGAAAGAGAGACACACTTCTCAATCCCCAACCCACGCACACATCATCCGGTGCATAGTCCATTTCCTCTTCCTGGTCCCGCTTTCGTTTCTTCAATGTCTCTTCCACAGGCAGGAAGTAGGCCACAAACTGGTTCCCTTCCTCATCCATCATGCCCCTGGTTGGGGGAAGAGGAAGAGCAGTGATAAATGAGGACAAAGGGCAATGAGAAATAGGCCAAGGTTGGCAGCAGGGACACTTACCTGATCATGGCTTGAGACATCATCTCCAATGCAGCTGCACCACTCGTGTCCTTGGGGGCTGGGTCTGAGTCAAAGATTACCTGAGCACATGGATTAATCCACATCTGTTGGACAGAGGACACTGGAGTTAGAAGTGAGACATGCAGAGATGACAGGCTATCTCGCTCTGCCTCCTGTACCAAATCTGACCTTAAAGTCTGGGAAGACGGGCATGACCTCCACCGGTGTCACTCGGGGCTTGCTGTAATGCTGGGAGATCTGGTAGGGACAAAAACAGGGTGAGAAGGAGGATGAAGAGCTTTGAAGCCACCTCTTTTTCTGCCTCCCCATCTTAGTCCCTCAGTTACCGACTTCTGGGCATCCTCAAAAGTCTTCTCAATGGCTGTTATCTGGCTATCCCTATCTTTGTAAATTTCTTCCTCAGTGAACTGCTGTTTTACAGAAACCCCAATCCTAAGGGTGAAGAGAAAGGCCTTTAGGGACCACTGGACACATCTGAAATTTCTACCTTCCCTCCCTACCTACCACAACTTACTTCACCTCAGGCTTCTCATTGGAGATGCCATAACGGTTGAACTCAGTGGAGATATACTCTGTCTTCCGCATCCATGGCACCACCTTTGCATGCTGCTGAGACCTAAGGTGGAGGATCAGACACTTCAGGACCTCACCACCCTCCTTCCATTGGAGCCAGTCCCCAGTCCCCACTCAGCATCCTACCCCCTCACCTCTTGGAGCTAGTGGGGGCCTGAATCTCTTCTTCCAGAAGCTTCTCATCAGCTGGATCTAAGAGTACTAGAGGAGAGAAAGGGGGTAAGAAACCATGATGGAGGTCCAGGCCTGGCCTTTGCTAGTCTAAAGCAGGTCCTCCCTGCCTCCCTACATACCATTGGGGTCAATGCGGTAGGTGTCAGGGTTGATGAGGTCAATGGTGACCCCCAGGTCTGGCTCAGTCAGGAGGTCATGTTTGTGCTGTTTTTCCAAGGAAGTTGCTTTGTACTGAACGAACCTGGGTAGGGAAACATGCCCATTATGGTTTCCTGACTCAGCTTTACCCCCTCAAATCCCTGCTTCACAGAGGCTAAACTTCTACAGGGAGGAACTCAGAGTGGAGTGTTCCCCCATGTCCAAGTCCGAACACTTGCTCTCCAATGGAAAGAGACTTGGACACTGCTTGCTCGTTACCAAATGTTTATCAGGCACCTACTACTGTAATATGTGCAGGGTACTGTTTTAGGCCCAGAAGAGAGAACTATCAACAAGAGAAGCAGTCCTTGCCTGCAAGGAGCTCATACTCTGAGTTGTTTCCCATTCCCAATCTTAAGTCTCACCTGTTCTGGTCGAAAGGGTAGGTAATAAACTTGGGGTCGAAGGGGATGTCAGGGAGGCTATTGCAGTACTTGACTCGGCAGACCACTCCAGATCTAGGAATAGAACAGCTCCTTTAAAAAGCTACTATGAAGGTCAAAAGATAAGTATCGAACTCAAACTACAGTAAGTAGAGAGGAGACAACACAAAAAAAACCTAAAACAACGTCAATAACATAAAATGTGGAGGGGATGTAAAAATGTAATCCTTATAGAATATATTTGAATTTAAATGCCTATTAGCTTAAAACAAACTGCTAGTGATAGCCATAAACCTCAAAAGCTATACAAAACCTACAAAAGTTATACAAAGAAGAGAAGGAACCCAAACAAAATACTAAAGAAAGCCAGCAAACCACAAGAAGGAACAAAGGAGAGCTATAAAAATGACCAAAAGAATGAACAAAATGGCAGTAAGTGCATACTTGCCAATAATGACTTTAAATGTTTCTCTCGTTGATGTTTCTAACTCTCTATCCCTCTCCCTTCCTCTGTAAAAAATCAATAAAATATATTTTTTTAAAAAAGAAAAAGAATAGATCCAGGGACAATGGGGGGTGGGGGGAGTGTTAGCAACCGAAGGACTTGTAATGCATGCATATCAGCATAACCAATGGACACAGACACTGGGGCGGTGGGGGCTTGCCCAAGGTAGGAATGGCGGGGGAGTGGGGGTGTCAATCAGGGGAAAAGGAGACATATGTAAAACCTTAGTAAGTTAAAAAAAAATGACCCAACAAGGGTAGTGGTGGCAGTAGCAGCAAAAAAGAAACAAAAACATGACACAGCTGCATGTTGCTTACAAGAGACTCACTTCAAATTGAAAGACATATATAGACTGATGCCTGGCCAGTGTGGCTCAGTGGTTGAGCGCTGACCCATGCACCAAGAGGACACGGGTTCAATTCCAGTCAGGGGACATGCCTGGGTTGCAGACCCGATCCCCAGTAGGGGGCATGCAGGAGGCAGGCACTCGATGTTCTCTCTCATTGATGTTTCTATCTCTCCCTCTCCCTAAAATCAAAAAAACATTTTTTAAAAAATACATATACCGGCTCAGCCAGTGTGGTCCAATGGTTGAGTGTTGACCTATGAACCAGGAAGTCATGGTTAGATTCCCATTCGGGGCACATGCCCGGGTTTCAGGCTCGATCCCCAGTAGATCAATGATTCTTTTTCATCATTGATATTTGTATTTCTCTCCCCCTCCCTCTTGGAAATAAAAAAACATATATTAAAGAAAAAAAGGCATATACCAGCTGAAAGTGAAAGGATGGAAAAAAGATACCCCATATAAATAGAAACAAAAGGAAAGCTGGATCCCTGGCTAGGTAGTGCAGTTGGTTAGAGCACTGTTCTGATATGCCAAGGTGGCAGATTCAATCCCCAGTCAGGACACATCAACCACTGAATACATAAATAAGTGGAACAACAAATCAATGTTTCTCTCTAAAAATCAGTAAATATAAAATAAATGTTTTTTTAAAATATGTTTTTATTTATTTGTAGATAGAGAGGAAGGGAGAGGAAGAGATAGAAACATCTATGAGAGAGAACATCAATCAGTTGCCTCCTGCACGTCCCCTACTGGGGATTGGGCCTGCAACCGAGTCATGTGCCCTGACTGGGAATTGGATGACGCTTAATTCACTGAGCCACATCAGCCAGGCTATAAACTTTTAATAAAAATAAACTGCTGTAGCATGGCAGCAGCTGAGACTGGTGGGCCAGGTACCGCTGCTGCGGACCAGAGAGAAACTACCTGCCAACTTCAGCCTGGGCTGTTTGCCACCGCTGCAGGGTCGGAAGCTATGGCCAAGGACATCCTGGGTGAAGCAGGGCTACACTTTGATGAACTAAACAAGCTGCGGGTGTTGGAACCAGAGGTTACCCAGACCATAGAGCTCAAGGAAGGGCTTTGTGGACAAAATTGGCCAATTTCAGAAAATACTAGTAGTTGGTGGTTTACTTGAGCTTGTTGACCAACTTGCAAAAGAAGCAGAAAAGGAGAAGATGAAGGCCTTTGGTGCTCAGAATTTGCTCAAATCTATAGCAAAGCAGAGAGAAGCCCAACAGCAGCAACTCCAAGGACTAATAGCAGAAAAGAAAATGCAGCTTGAAAGATATTGGGTTGAATAGGAAGCCTTGTATAAAGTAGAAGCAGAACAAAATGAATTTATTGGCCAATTTATTTTTCAGAAATGAAATGAAAATTTCATTATATAGCACGAGGGCAGAAAAAGCAATAAATTATTGTTTTCATATGGCAAAAAAAAAAAAATTAAAAACTGGAGTAGCAATAACCATATCAGACAAAACAGACTTTAAAACAAAAAATGTAAAGACAAACAAGGACACTACATAATTACAGAGGGTAAATCCAAGAAGAGAATAAAGCAATTGTAAATATCTACATATCCAACATAGGAGCACCTAAATATATAAAGCCAATATTAATGGACATAAAGGGAGAAATCCACAGTAATAAAATACAGTAGGTAACTTTAACACCCCATTCACATCAATGGATAAGTTCATTGAGACACAAAATTAATAGGGAAATAATGGCCTTAACTGTCACATTAGACCAGATGGACTTAATGGACATTTATAGAACGTTTCATCCCAAAAGCTGCAGAATGCACTTTTTTTAAAAATGTATTTTATTGATTTTTTACAGAGATGAAGGGAGAGGGATAGAGAGTTAAAAACATCGATGAGAGAGAGAAACATCGATCAGCTGCCTCCTGCACACTCCCTACTGGGGATGTGCCTGCAACCAAGGTACATGCCCTTGACCGGAATCAAACCTGGGACCTTTCAGTCCGCAGGCCGACGCTCTATCCACTGAGCCAAACCAGTTAGGGCAGAATGCACATTTTTTAAATGCACATGGCAAACCCTTCAGACTAGGACCACAAAACAAGCCTCAAATTCAAAAAGATTGAAATCATTATCAAGCATCTTTTCTAACCTCAATATCATCAAACTAGTAATCAACTACGGGAAGAAAACTAGGGAAAAAAACACATGGAGACTAAACAACATAGGTATGTTGAAAGAAAACTTTTCAAGATTTATTGGATGCAGTAAAAGCAGCTGTAAGAAGGAAGCTCATAGTTATACAGGCCTACCTCAAGAAATGAGAAAAATCCCAATAGCCCTGGCCAGTATTGCTCTCTTGGTTGGATGTCATCCTGGGCACCAAAGGGTTGCTGGTTCAATTCCCAGTCAGGGCACATGTCCCAGCAGCAGGCATACAGGAAGCAGCCAATCGATGTTTCACTCTCACATCTATGTTTCTCTCTCTCTTTAAAAATAAATAATTGCCCTAGCCATTTTGGCTCGTGTTTAGAGCATTGGCCTGCAGACTGAAGGGTCCTGGGTTCTATTCTGGTCAAGGGCACATGCCTGGGTTGCAGGCTGGATCCCTAATAGGGGTGTGTGCAGAAAGCAGCCAATCAATGATTCTCTCTCATCATTGATGTTTCTATCTCTATCTCCCTCTCCCTTGCTCTCTGAAATCAATAAAAAATATATTTTTTTAAAAGTCAATTCTTAAAAATCTTTTAAAAAGGAAAATCCAAATAAACAATCTAACTCTATACCTAAGGAAACTAGAAAAGAACAAATAAAACCCAAAGTAAACAGAAGGAAGGAAATAGTTAAGATCAGAATGGAAATAAATAGAAATTTTAAAAACAGTAGAAAACATCAATTAGACCAAAAGCTGATTCCTTGAAAAGATAAACAAATTTAACAAACCTTTAGTAAAGAAGGCCCAAATAAAATCATAAATGAAAGAGAAGGTACAGTCAACATCACAGATAAACAGAGTCACTCAAAAAATACAATTATAGGCTAACAAATTTGACAATCTAGAAGAAATGGATAAATTTCTAGAAATAACATAACCTCCTTAGACTGAACCAGACTGAAATAGAAAATCTAAACAGAGCAATTACTGGCAATGAAATTGAAGTAGTAATAAAAAAAAACTCTCAACAAATAAAAGTCCAGGACCAAATGGCTTCATAGGTGAATTCCACCAAACATTCAAAGAGTTAACATCAATCCTTAAACTATCTCCAAAAATTGAAAAGGAAGGAACACTTCCAAATTCATTCTACAAAGACAGCATTACCTTAATACTGAAACCAAAGACATTACAAAAAAGGGAGCATTTGAGATCTTGCTCTCCTGCATGTTAGCTTGGCTCAAATAAACTCTTATAAAAAGTAAAAAAAAAAAAAAAAAAAAAAAGAGCCCTAGCCGGTTTGGCTCAGTGGATAGAGCGTCGGCCTGCGAACCAAAGGGTCCCAGGTTCAATTCCAGTCTTGGGTACATACCTCAGTTGCGGGCTTGTGCAGGAGACAGTAGATGTGTTTCTCTCACATCCATGTTTCTCTCTTTCCCTCTCTCTCCCACTCTCCCTAAAAATCAGTGGAAAAATATCCTTGGGTGAGGATTAACAACAACAAAAGAAAATTACTAGCTAATATTCTTGATGAACAGAGATGCAAAAATTCTCAGCAAAATATCAGCAAACTGGACTCAACAATACATTAAAAGGGTTATACACCATGACCAAGTGGGATTTATCCCAGTGATGCAAAGATGGTTCAATATCAGTAAATCAATTTGACACATCAAGTTAAAAAAAAAAAAAGGGATAAATGCAGAGAAAGTGTTTGATAAAATTAAGCATCATTTTGCCTGGCCAGTGTGGATCAGTGGTTGAGCATTGATCCATGAACCAAGAGGTCACCAGTTCAATTCCCAGTGAAGGCACGTGCCCAGGTTGTGGGCTAATCTACACCAAAGGAAACAAGAATATATAATAAATCCTAGCCACAGCAATCAGACAGGGGTATGCAGGAGGCAGCCAATAAATGTTTCTCATTGATGTTTCCATTCTCCTCCCTTCCTCTCTCTCTAAAATCAATAAAAACATTATTTTTAAAAATTAAGCATCATTTTATGATAAAAACTCTCTACAAAGTGCTTATGGAAGGGACATAACATAATAAAGGCTTATATATGCCAAACCCACAGCTAATATACTCAATGGTGAAAAGCTGAAAGCTTTTCCTCTAAGATCAGAAAAAAGACAAGGACGCTCATTATCACCACTTCTATTCAACATAGTATTGGAAATCCTAGCCACAGCAATCAGACAAGAAAAAGAAAAAAAAAAAAGGCATCCAAATCAGAAAGGAAGAAGTAAAATTCTCATTATTTGCAGATGACATACAATATATAAAAAACCCTAAATAATCCCACCAAAAAGAAATTAGAATAAATGAATTCAGTAAAGTTGTAGGATACAGACTCAATATACAGAAATCTGTGGCATTTCTACATACCAATAATGAATGATAAGGAGAAATTAAGAAAAACCCATTTACAATTGCATCAAAAAGCATAAAACGCCTAGGAATAAATTTAACCAAAGGCATAAAAGACCTGTACTCAGAAAACTGTAAGACACTGAAGAAATAAGTTGAAAATGTGAATAAATGGAAGACATACCTTGCTCATGGATTGGAAGGATTAATATTGTTAAAATGTCCTTACTACCTGCCGAAACCGGTTTGGCTCAGTGGATAGAGCGTCGGCCTGCGGACTGAAAGGTCCCAGGTTCGATTCCGGTCAAGGGCATGTACCTGGGTTGCGGGCATATCCCCAGTGGGAGATGTGCAGGAGGCAGCTGATCGATGTTTCTCTCTCATCGATGTTTCTAACTCTCTATCTCTCTCCCTTTCTCTCTGTAAAAAATCAATAAAATATATTTAAAAAAAAAAAAATGTCCTTACTACCTAAAGCAAATTACAGAGTCCATGTTATCCCTATTAAAACACCAATGGCATTCGTCTCAGAACTATAACAAATCCTAAAATTTCTATGGAACCACAAAAGACTCCAAATAGCCAAAGAAATTTTGAAAAAGAACAAAGTGGAAGATGGTTCCATACTCCCTGATAAGCTATGGTATAAAGCTACAATAATCAAAACAGTATGGTACTAGAATAAAACAGACACAGATCACCCAGCCAGTGTTCTCAGTGTTGGGTGCCGACCTATGAACCGGGAGGTCGAGGTTCCATTCCCTGTCAGGGCGCATGCCTGGGTTGTAAGCTTAGTCCCCAAATGGGAGGTGTGCAGGGGGCTTCCGATCAATGATTATCATTTGACGGTTTTCTCTCTCCCTTCCTTTCTGAAATCAATAAAAATATATTTTAAAAAGCCAAAACAGCCGAAACCGGTTTGGCTCAGTGGATAGAGCGTCGGCCTGTGGACTGAAGGGTCCCAGGTTCGATTCCGGTCAAGGGCATGTACCTGGGTTGCGGGCACATCCCCAGTGGGAGATGTGCAGGAGGCGGCTGATCGATGTTTCTCTCCCATCGATGTTTCTAACTCTCTATCTCTCTCCCTTCCTCTCTGTAAAAAATCAATAAAATATATTAAAAAATAAAAATAAAAAATAAAATAAAAATAAAAAGCCAAAACAGCCGAAACCGGTTTGGCTCAGTGGATAGAGCGTCGGCCTGCGGACTGAAGGGTCCCGGGTTCGATTCCGGTCAGGGGCATGTACCTGGGTTGCGGGCACATCCCCAGTGGGGGATGTGCAGGAGGCAGCTGATCGATGTTTCTCTCTCATCAATGTTTCTAACTATCTCTCTCCCTTCCTCTCTGTAGAAAATCAATAAAATATATATTTTTTTAAAAAGCCAAAACATAGTTCTAGCCGGTTTGGCTCAGTGGATAGAGCCTGCAGACTGAAGGGTTCCAGGTTCAATTCCGGTCAAGGGCACATGCCCAAGTTGCAGACTCAATCCCCAGTAGGATTCCCTCTCATTGATGTTTCTACCTCCCGCTCCTCTCTAAAACCAATAAAATATATTGAAAAATAATAATAAATTTAAAATATAAATAAATAAAAATAAACAAATGGGACTACATCAAACTAAAAAGGTTTTGCATAGCAAAAGAAACCATCTACAAAATGAAAATACAACCTACTGAGAGAAGACTTTTACAAATGATATATCCAATAATGGGTTAATATCCAAAATATATCAGGAACTCATACAACTTATCAAAACAAAACAAAAACAAAACCCACGAACACACACACAAAAACAATCCTAATATATAAAAACCCTGGGTCCGGCAGCACTGGGTTGCCATGGCGACCCAGCACTGACTGCTGAGGGGGCTGTGAATCAGGCTCGGTGAGATGCCTGAAGAGAAAAGCAGGGTCTGATCCATAGCCGTTGTGGCAGCTGTTGATCAGCACTTGCCTCTCTCTCTCCCTGCGGGTGCCAGCAGCCGCACCTCCATTTCTCTCCAGGCCTCCAACCAGGCTGCTGATCAGCCCCACCTCTCTGATCAGGCCCTGCTGATAGGCCCAGAGACGCTGACTGGCATAGAAACCGATCAATCAGAACCAAATTGGCCAGCAGAGGAGGGCATTTGGGGGCGAGATCAGGCCTACAGGAGTGGGCAGTTGGGGGTGATCAGGCTGGCAGGGGAAGGCAGTTGAGAGGCGAGATCAGGCCAGCAGGGGAGGGCCATTGGGGGTGAGATCAGGCCGGCAGGAGAGGGCAGTTGGAGGCAGGCGAGATCAGGTTGGCAGGGGAAGGCCACTGGGGGAGAGATCAGGTTGGCAGGGGAGGGCAGTTGGGGGCGATCAGACAGGCAGGCAGAGAGGTTAGGGGCAATCAGGCAGGCAGGCAGGCAGAGGGGTTGGGGCAGGCAGGCAGAGGCAGTTAGGGGCAATCAGGCAGTCAGGCAAGTGAGCGGTTAGGAGCCAGCGGTCCCAGATTGCGAGAGGGATGTCTGACTGCCGGTTTAGGCCCAATCCCACAGGAATCGGGCAGTCGGCCACCCTCCCAGGGATCCCCAATCGGAGAGGGTGCAGGCTGGGCTGAGGGAACCCTCTCCTCTGTGCATGAATTTCATGCACCCGCCACTAGTCCATTTATACATAGGGAGAGGTCCTGAATAGACATTCTCCAAACAGGACGAACAGATGGCCAACAGACATATGAAAAGATGCTCAACATCATCAGGGAAATGCAAATTAAAACCACAATGACTGTCACCACCTGTCAGAATGAACAAATAAGTGCTGGTGAGGATGTGGAGAAAAGGGAATTCTCATACACTGTTAGTGGGATTGTAAATTAGTGCAGCCACTATGGAAAACAATACGAAGATTCCTCAAAACATTAAACCCTACGTTCACTGCAGCATTACTAGTAATAGCTGAGATACAGAAGCAACCTAGATGTCCATCAATAGATGACTGGATAAAGAAGATTCAATATATATATTGAAATATTATTCAACAACAAAACCCCACACAAAACAAATGAATAAACAAAACAAAATAGAAACAGACCCATAGATATAGAGAAACAGCTAATGGTTGCCAAAGGGGAGGAGGATGGGGGTTTGGGAATAAAAAAATAAAAACCGCTGATACATTGGGTGTGGAAACTGGCCCTTGCTGCCCACCTGTTTCCCACCCCCCATTGGCCCCACCCCTCTTAGGAAAACAGAATGGGGCTCACCTCTCAGGCAGAGTCCGATGGGAATTGGGCCTGGTGGGTAAGAGAGAGAGAAACATTGGTAGAAAGAAGGAGAAGACCAAATTGACAGGAGTGAAGGGGGCATCTCCAAGTTTTTAAAAGAGGATTGCCTTTCTGAATAAAATCACCAAGAATTTAATTCTCGAACTCCATTGCGGGGGAAAGGGACAACACCCCATCCCTAAACAAACCCCTCTCTTCTGAGTGCTCCGTGACGTCACGGACAGACCTGGGGGGCTAGCGACGCTAGAAGTAGACTCTGAGCCCGACCCCCCGCCTCGCCGAAACCTGGACAGACAATAAAGCTAAAAGGTGAAGCGTTTACCTGTGGCCATCTTCCCGCTGTGCCTGGGTCTGGATGGTGGGCGCCATGGCGACGAGGCGACAGCAGTCCGGACCTGGCCGAACCGCGGGGAGACAAGGTGGGGCGTGCCGACCTCGACCGACACCTAATCCGAGGCAGCGCTCGGGCCGGCGCCCGGGTCCGTGAGGCCAGCGTCGGGCTGAGGTGGGCCAGTGCGAGGAGTTCCAGGGGAGACAGGTAAACGCGCAGCCGCCGACTTTCAGCTGCGGATCCACCAACCGCCGCCAGGAGAATGGGCACGGACCAATCTCCTTGAGCCGCGAATTCTTCTGGGAAATAGAGTCCGGGTTAAACCCACACCCGGATTGGTCAGCAGCTGGGAAAGGGGCGGAGCGAGAGAAGAGGCTTTTGTGATTGGTGAATAGGTATCTTTAGTATGGGACGTAGGATTTGGGAATCAAGTTTGGAAGCGCCTTCTTTCCTCCCATTGGCTGAATTGTTTGAGTGGCGCTAACTAGCAAACCGGGCCTGGAGCGGAAGACGCAAAAAGAAACCTGAATACGCACTTGTGACTTACTTATGACGCACTTCCGGCGCGCTAAGTGGGGGAAATGGCTGCGTCTCAGCCGCAGGTTCCCGCGGCTTCTTCCGCTGCTGGTGTGTCGGGTCCAGGTTCAGCTGGTGGCCTGGGTACCCAGCAGCAACCGCAGCCACCTACACAACTGGTGGGGTCTGCCCAGAGCGGGCTTTTGCAGCAACAGCAACAAGACTTCGACCCTGTGCAGCGGTATAAGATGCTCATCCCACAGCTGAAGGAGAGTCTGCAGGTGATCCGCCGAGAGCTGCTAGAGTCTAGCGGGGTTTGGTTCTCTGACTCAAAGGAGGCAGACGGGGGTGCTGCTTAGGGAAGCAGCGAGCAGAAGGAGCGTTAGGCAAGGGAAAAGGGGTGAGACTTGGTCTTCGTGGGAGCAATGCGAGTGTTGAGCCTGGGATTGGCCAGAACTCGAGTGGGAGGGAGTTTAAAGGAGACGCCGGGCTCTGGTCGTTAAGGCCTGAGGAATTGTCGGCTTGTACAGAGAGATTCTGATTGTGATTGGTGGATGAGGGGGGGCCCTAAGGTATGTCGGGAGGTCATTAACGAGAACCCCAGATGACAGCGGGCCGCTGGGAAAATACAGGTGTTTATTTAAAGCTATAGAAATAGAAACGGGAGTTACTCTGGAGTTACAGGAGGAGAAGTGGCAAGTGAAGAGGAGGCCTGAGATTGGGTCTGAGGAGTGTAGAGTGCCACACGTGTCCCCTTCTCTTTCTCCATCTCCCGAATCTTTTTTTTTTAAACTAGACTTTGATGAAAGTTGCAGCCCAGAACTTGATTCAGAACACTAACATAGACAACGGACAGTAAGTGTATTCCCGTTTCCCAGGTTCTCCATCCATGTCCACCCCATTCTTAGAAACTCATTCCCCAAGCCCCACCCACCCACCCTCCTTTCCTCCTATTTTCAAGCCCGGTTCCCTAGCTCCTAGCCTTGCTCTTTCTGCCTCTGCTACTACTGCCAATCCCCTAGTGCCTGCCTCTGAGAACCTGTGCCTTTACCTGATTTCCTGACGGCTACCAGATTGCGTAGACACTCATGTCCCAGAGACTGAAAATCATCCCTCAGTCTCCTTCTTTTCCCGGGCTATAGAAAAAGCAGTGACGGACCCATACAGCGCTTTGACAAGTGTCTGGAGGAATTCTACGCACTCTGTGACCAGCTGGAACTCTGCCTGGTAAGCAGCTTCCTAGACACGGGGTGACCACAACCCTAACTCAATCCCTGGGTCTTCAGGAATTCTCAGTCAGTCAACACAACACACAGTGAGCACCTGCTGTGGCCAAACCTGTGCTTCAGTTGATGTTGGGCACCCGGTGTTGCCCTGATCTTAGCCCTCACAGAGCTTCCAGTTCAGTGCGGTGACATATGTCCCCAAATAATGATGGCTCAGAGCACTAAGAGTTGTGATGGGAGAAGCCTAGGTTTCAGAGTTCAGGGCTCAGATGGGGTTGGGGACACGGTTAGAGAGGTCAGAATTAAAATCAGGGAAGCTCAGGAGGCTGCGGAAGCCCAGAAAAGGCATCTAACCCTGCCTGGGTGGTGCCAGGGAGAGAGTGGCTCAGGGAAGGCTGTTGGTAGAGAACAGATTAGAGGCGAGGCAGTAACAAAAATTGAAGAGGGGCAGGAATTGAGAAGAGGGCAAGTAGCAAAGAGCACAGCATCTGAAATCACATGGACCTCCAACCTCTACTTCTGACCCATGGGTTCCTCCCTAGGAAAATGGATTTTCAGGAGAAACTCAGCAAGTTCATGCATGTACTAGGCACATGACAAATGTTTCCTGTAGTATCATGTTGTCATCATTGTTTTTGTAGTATCATCGTCATCATTATTTTGAATTAGATTTTAAAGTCAGAGTTTGAGAAGACTGGTAGTGGTAGAAAGGTATTCCAACCAAAAGGAACAGCTTCTGCTTTAGGAATGTCATGAAATACAGTCTGACTGAGGTGTATTTGGCATTGGGCTTGTTGATTTTTTTTTTTAAGTGATAGTGGTAAGATTTATTAGGATAAAAGAGGCAAGATCATAGCAATGGGAATAAACCTAGACTGGGATGCCTAGACTCAGAAAGGAAAGTTAAGAAGCAAAAGGAGAGTCTTTAAAGCCCACTGCACCCCCAGTAGCAAGGCTCATGGGGACCCTTAGAGTTTAGGAGAAAAGAAAGCAAAATATGGTCCGGGGGGTAGGAGGCGGCCGGGGAATGGGGGCAGGTTGGAAGAGGTTAATGGGGGAAAAAGGAGAACCTATGTAATACTTTCAATAATAAAGATTTAAAAAACATATATATGGCCTGAGGGAAGGAAGGGGAGGTTGCTCCAATGTTGTTGAATTTTGAAAACAGCCCTAAGGGTGCTGGGAAGCCATCCAGGGTTTCAAGCTTGGAAGAACACGGACCCATTGCTTTTTGTTGTTTCCTTTAATCCTCTCCCAAGGATTTTTTTTTTTTTCTCATTGATTTTTAGAGAGAGTAGATGGGAGGGGCAGAGACAGAGAGAGAGAGAAATCGATGTGAGAGGGACACATCGATTGTTTGCCTCCCGCACACACCCGACCAGGGATTGAGCCTTCAACAGAGGCACATGCCCTTGACCTGGAATCAAACCTGGGACCCTTCAGTTCTCAGGTGAACGCTGTCCACTGAGCCAAACTGGCTAGGGCGTTTTATTTTATATTTTGGGGTTTATTTTATTTATTTATTTATTTAAATTTATTGATTTCAGAGAGGAAGAGAGAGGGAGAGACAGAAACATCAATGATGAGAATCATTGACTGGCTGCCTCCTGCACGCCCCCTACTGGGGATCGAACCTGGGACCCTTTAGTCCACATGCCGATGCTCTATCCATGAGCCAAACCAGCGAGGGCTTATTTTATGTCTTTATTTCTCTTTAGAGAAAGAGGAAGGGAGGGAGGGAGAGAGAGAGAGAGAGAAACATTGATCAGCTGCCTTCTGCATGCACCTTCCTGGGGATCGAGCCCGCCACCTGGGCATGTGTCCTGACCGGGAATCAAACCTGCAACCTCTCAGAACATGATCCATTGCATTTTAAAGAATATTCCTCTGGCTCCCAAATGAGGGATGGGTTAAAAGGGCCAAGGGTGGAGGCTGGGATTTCAAGAAGATAGCCATGGCAAGATTTAATGGGCAAGGCTCTGGCCAAGGGCAAATGAGCGACTCAGGTTTTGTGTACAGCCATGGAACTGATGGGTTGTGAGAGGAGGAGCCTCCAGGATGCAGCCCAGGGCTCTAGTTGGAGTGGTTGGGTCATTTGTTAGACAGGGACCCAGGAAGAGGAGCAGTTTGGGGTTGCGGAGAGAGCGTCAGAGCTCTGGAGTTTCAGGGGAGGCTGGGGACATACATGTACTATCATCAGTGCAGAGGTGGGTACTGAGTAGTGTGTGGGGATGAGATAGCCCCAAGAGGGCATAAGAATGAGAGGAGGAGGTGGGCCATGCAAAATGCTGCATTTAAGGCTTGGATAGAGCAAGTACATAGGAGTTCAGAAGCCTGCATGCTACCCCAGGCTGGTTCTTGGGGCAGGGTTGGGAGTACCCAGAATGAGGCTGATGCTGCACCTTGCCTGCCTATCCACAGCGCCTGGCACATGAGTGCCTATCACAGAGTTGCGACAGTGCCAAGCACTCTCCCACGCTGGTGCCCACAGCAACCAAGCCAGATGCAGTACAACCTGACAGCCTACCCTATCCTCAGTACCTGGCAGTCATCAAAGCCCAAATTGCCTGTGCCAAGGACATTCACACCGCTCTGCTAGACTGTGCCAACAAGGTTACTGGGAAGACTTCTGCACCACCTACTGGCTCTGGGGGTGCCTTGTGAGCTGGCACGGCTGGGAGTGAGCAACTTGTGGGGGAGAGGGACAGGGAAGGAATGAAGAGTGACCTCAAAGCAGCTTTGTCTCTGACTTTTCTTCCCACCTGAGTGCTTGGGTGGCAGCCAGCAGGGGGCAGCAGAGGCCAGCAGGGAGTGCATGGGGAAGAGGAGGGTGGGGAGCCACTCTGTGGGTGGCCTGCTCTCCCGGTGGACTTTGGACTGTGCCTTTGGAAAACCTCTTCCTGGGATGCTTCTACTATCTGCCCTCAGTTTGAAACCCTAACTGTGCCCCTGTCCCTCTGTCCTTACTTGACTCTGTCCCAGTATGGGTGTGGTCTCTGTGCTCCTTTTTCTAGCTGTTCCCTTGTGTGTCTCTGCTGCATGTATCTATTATCTCTCTCATTCAGCCTTTTTGTCCATATGTCTGTCTCTCTGCCTCTGTAGTTCTGTGTCTCCCTATCTCTGACTATCTTTCAGTCCCCCTTTGCTGGCCTCCGCCCCCAACTCCTCACTGGAACTCTGTGTCTATGAAGGAGACCAAATTCTGGGAGCCAGAACCTCTGGGATACCAAAGGCGAGGGGAGGGAGCTTCATTTCCAGGAGCTAGCTAACAGCCAAGCCGAGGGATCCCAGGCACCTCCCATGTCAGCCCAGCCCCCAGTATCCTTGGCCCAGGAAAGGGGAAGTAATGGGGTCCAAGCCCTGACCTCAGCATGCCTGGTTGGGGAGCAACTCAGGCCCCCACCCGTATCCAGGGCCTGCGTCAGCATCACTTAAACTGGGGGCATTGTGCAATCTGTGGTGAAGCCTTGGCCCAGCTGGATGCCTGGGTCACCATATTTTTAGGCCCAAAGGAGAAGTGAAAAGGCCTCAGAAGGGGTGAATCATCTGTCCTGGGGAAGAACCCAGGTGCCTTGCCTGGGCCCCAGCTCTGGGAAGCAGGCCTTGGGGAAGGGGCTTCAAGGAGGGAGTGCCCTACCAGGCTCCCCACTTCTCTGAGAGCAAGCTTTGGAGAGCTCAGCCATGGCCTTCAGGCCTGGGCAAGTGTAGGGTGTAGCTGCCAGCCCAGGCCTAGTTGGAGGGGTGTGAAAGGCTCCAGTGACTCAGCCTGGTTGGGGAACTGCCCCACCCAACATTTTCTGTGCCCTGATTCCCATGTTCCTGCCCAGAGGCCTCTTGTTCTGGACCCCGCATCTGCAAGGAAAGCCCAGGAACATGGAGACCCATGATATACCCAAAGCCCAAGTCCCCACACTGGAGTCCTTGGAAATGGCCAGCCGTGTGGGTGTGGGTGTGGGTGTGGGTGTGGGTGTGGGGCAAGTAGGACAGGCCCACGGGAAGGGCAGCAGATCTCTGGGTCACTAGCTGAAGCTGCTTTCCACAGGTAGAATTTCTTCCTCAGGGAAGCCACATTTCTGCCCATTTATTTGACTGAATCAACTCCCCAAGTCATCTAGGATATTTCCTTTACTTAAAGTGAACTGATTATAAACTTTAATCACATGTACAAAATTCACAGCATCATCTAGATTACTGTTTGATTGAATCAGCAGGGGACTGTAGCCTAGCCAAGTTGACATGTAAAACTGACCATCATAATCTAGTCCTTGTCGATTTGGCACCCATACACATCTAATTAACTATAGTTAATCTCTAATTAAATACAAGAACAAAGTCATCTTCCCACCTAACATGATGCAATTATCTGTGTACGGCCAGAAATGCACTCTTTACCCCAAAGAGCCCCCCTGGCTCTCAGCCTGGGGTACATGATGTATGTTAGTGGGAGATGTAGGTCACAGCACACACATTTAGGAGACATGCACACCTGTCCTGTGAGGTGGAGTCAGCACAAGAAACTTACTAAGAAAATCATAAGGAATGAAAAATACAGTATTTATTGAAAAAAATCCACATGTGAGTGGACCTGCCCAGTTCATGTGTCAGCAGTATGTCAAATAGAAGTTTCAAGAAGAAAAATAAAGCAGAAAACTGGGATCAAAAATAGAGACTTTTGATTGGGGGGAGTGGGGTGGGGAGTAGGAATAAATAACATGCAAGATTTGCATGAGAAGAATTGTTACTTTATTGAGAAAGTTTGAGAGCTTAGGTTGGGTAGTGGTTCATAGGTATTCATTATTATGGTCTGTAAATAGATGTCCCATATATTTATTATTTGTTAAGTAGATAGCAATATTTTTTTTTTTTAATCTTTGACAGAGGATATGAAGGCCTCACTGACAAGATTGACTTGAAGGAGAGAGAATAAGTTATGAATATAAGGGCATTGAGGGAAACAGCATTCCAGGAAGAGGGCATGGAATGGCAAGCACAAGGCCCTGAGGCAGGAATGGGACAGTGTTTATGGAATAATGTGGAGGCCTGGACCATAGTGAAGGAGCTGGAATAGAAGCCAAGACAGGTTATGGAGGACCTTGGTTTAGATCCGCACTGGATTATTCAACCCAGAAGGAGATTGTACAGTCAGGGGACATAGGGACTTATCTCACCCCACCCAGCAGGGAACAGCATAACCCGCCATCCTACAGTCATGGTGTACTCATGGTCTTAGCACAAGCCCACAGACTAAAGGAACAATTCAACCATGTAAAATATATAAACAACCCTCTAACCACCACTTAATCTGCTATCTCTCACCCCATCACAGACTTTGCCCATGACAGGCTGACTCAGCCCTGCCCTCAGTCAACACTATCAAAAGCAGCCTGGGCTGGGGAGAGATAGTTTCCCAGGTGGCAATGTGTGTGCCTGTGTGTCTGGTTGGTCCACAGAGGCCACCAGCATCAGCGAAATGGAGTGGGGTGTGCGCCAGCTGTCCGCCCCGTCATCATGTTGGTTCTAGACGTCAGGAACCAAAGTTCACCAGTTTCACTGCCTTGTGACTGGCCACAGAGGAACCGGATCCAGACAGTGGCCTCACATGTCCTCAGCAACACCCCCCAATAAGGACACAGACACATAACGTTCACTACACACACTGAGCTGCAGGAACCTTGCACACAGCTACAACTGCCTATAATCTCACAGATACTTGAAAATAAACAGATTTTAATCTCACAGATACACACTCAACTTTGAAGTGTGTGCACAGATCTTTATCGTACATGAGGGCAGTCATACCCTCACTAGGCTCCCTCAAGGAGTTACACTTAGTCACTCCAGATCCCACAGTGGTTCAGAGCTATACATAGGTGTGCAATGGGTAAGTCACACTGTCATGAATGCCGCCACCTCAAAGGCAGTTAGGGTTGAGTACCTACTCAAGATGGTTAAAGTAACATGGTAGAATCAATCACACAGGTCCAGGCGGTTTCCCACATTTATTCACAGGCATGTCAAGTGGGATTGGAAGACACGGGCCTCACACAGTCAAATGGACCGCAGGCACCCCGGGTCTCACAAGCCCAGTCAAACCAGGTGCACATCTTCACACCTGCAGCGCCCACACTTCACACAGCGACCGATACACACGCCCCGGTGGCCCCACGCATTTGCACACAGCCCCCCGCTCCTGCTCACGCCCAGTCAATCCAGCCGGGCGCACACCCGGCCGGGACCCGCACGTGCCTCCAGCGCAGGGCCCCGCTCGCCCGCGCACTCTCGCAGGCTCTCACACCCCCGCGTTTCCCGTCCCCGCTTGTTTTTCTGGAAACTGCTCTCCACTCCCCTCCCCCTAGGCCGGAAGTGCTCGCTGTATTTTTAGCCTCTCTGGTTTCCGCCCCTTTCCCCCTTCTGCCCGCCTAAGACCTGCCCCCGGTGCCCCGCGGGGTACCCCGGCCATCCCCCTCCCCACCGTCATTCCAGAGGGGATTCCCGGCGGCTGGCGGGGCCCCGGATTTTCCCGCTGGCTACGTGGGGAGTGGGGAGGAGTCCTGCCCTGAAGTTCCTCCTCGGCCCGGGCCAAGTTGGAGGGGGGATAGGAGCCGGGCTGCCAAGTCCGAGGAAAGGGGCTGGGGGCTCGGACTCGGGTCTGACGAAGGACTGGGCTAGGGGCCGGCTGTCCTGGGTCTGAGAGTGGAGGTGGCTTGGACACCGGGCCCCTAGATCTGGGCAAGGAGTGGCCGGAGCCCGGGCTTCTGGGCCCGCCCGCCGGTGCCAAGGCCCCCGCCCCCTCCAGCCTCTAGGAGGGCTGCCCCGTCCCAGCGTCCAGGTTGTCGTTGACTCAGCACAGGGACGAGGGGAGGGGGTCAGCCTGACTCAGGCTGGGAAAGGCTCCCAGGCTCCTGGGAATCGACACTGGAATCCCTCCCCCAGGATCGCTCCGAAGACCCCAGGGTGTCCCCCACCCCTGCTTCCCGCGCCTTCGTCCTACTAGCGGCCGAGGGGTCTGGAGCCTGGCCCGGGGGCGGGTGCCAGACACCTCCCCTTTCAACCTTTTCCCGTTGTCCTCCAGCCTCTGTTTACAGGCGACCGAAGCCCTGGTTACAGAGAGGAACCGGCGTCACGGCTTCCAGGAAGCCCCCTTCCCCCGCCCCTTGCGGGTGAGTCACGGGAGGCTGCAACCGTGCGGAGCCGCCCGAAGCGGCCCAACTCACGGGACCGGCCGGGAAGGCCCGTCTGTCGCCCCAGAAGGCGCCGCACCAGGGATTCCCCTGAACTCTGTCCGACCAGGCAGGTCCGCGTGCTTGACCGAATCTCCCACCTCCACACAAGCCAGCAGTCAGCCTGCCATAAGGAACTTTGCACCATTGTAACTGCACTCCGTGGCAATGATTTCTGCCCCCGATTTTCACGCAGGGCAGCCAGCTCACCAAGACTCCCTTAAGAAACGAGTTTTCTTCCCAGATCACAAAGTTCTCGCGCAGGGCAACCCTTTGACAATAAACCACTTGAGAATGTGGGAAAGGTTCCCGGCAAGTTGAGAATTCCCTCAAGGCACGCCTCTCTAAGTCCCAGGACCATCAGTTGTGGATGACCCATTTCTTCCATCTCAAAACAGCTTTTAATCAAGGTAACCCTCCACCATAATAAAAGATTGAGATTTCCAATCTTCGGTTTTCCCAGAAAGCAAACTCTTAACATGATTTAATGCCCTGGTATTAGGCTGCTGCCATTTACTAAGTAGAAGGAGAGTAACTTGACCTCTATTCCTGGGTTTCCTCGTGTGTAAAATGAACACAATAACCCCTCTTGAGTTAACGAACTTAAAAGCACTTTCATATGACGGCATCTAGCCCAGAGAAAGCCATCAGAAGTGCCCCTATTTGCGGGAGGACGCGAGGCTACAGCGGCTCTGGAATTGGGAAGGGAGGCCCCTTTCCAGTCTTGCCAGATACCAGGGTCCCCACCCCTCGCGAGTGAGGGTGCGGAGGGCCGAGGTCTGCGGATCTGGGCTGTTTGAGGGCGAAACCAAGGCAGGCGGGTCGGTCTCCCAAGAGAATTCTCTGCCAGGCCTTTGGTCTCTTCTGTTTTGCTCCTGCATATTTTTGTCTTGTGGGTTATTTGTTTTATTTCCTCCCTCTTTTTATTTATTTGACTTCCCCTCTAGCTTTTCGCTATGAATTTGTCCCTGGGACTGTCTCTTCAAGTCTTTTCTGCCTGTGTCCCCACCTCTCCTTACCCTGTTTTTGCCCTCTCTTCGTATACCTCCCTGTGTGGGTCCCTCCCTCCCTCTGCTGTGTGTCTATGTGTTTCTCTTTGCGTCTCTCCATTTCTGGGTCTCTGGCTCTCTCCGCACTGCTCCCCGCCGCCGGCGTCAGTCTTTCTCCCACGCGCACGCCCACTGCCTCGGCCTCTCCCCTTGTCGATTTCCCCTGGAGCCCTGCCCCCACCTCCGTCCCAGTTCCCTTCCCGGAGCCTCGGACTCCAGCCTTGAAAACGGGGCCGACACCCCCATCCCACGCACTCCTCGCAGGGTCGCGGCCGCTGGTGGGCCCAGGTCCCGCGCGTCCGGGCCGGGGGAGGGGGCGGGGCGGAAGGGAACCAGTCCCGGGCCGGGCGGGCAGCGCTGGGGGGTGCGCGTCCGGGAAGCGCCCCTCCTGGCCCCGCCCGCCAGCGGCCGCCCCGCCCCTGTGTCTATAAAATCGCCGGCTCCTCCACCCAGCGGCAGCTTGGCCCCGGCGCTCGCACGTTCTCCCGGGTTTCCCGCAGATCTCCCTTCTGCGTCGCCATGGATCTCAGCGCCCTCTACGAGGTGAGTCCCCGCCGACCGGCACCTTGGGGTCCCTGTGCCCAACGGACTCCCTTCTCAAACTAGGGCTCTGTGGCATCGCCAACTCCGGTCGGGACCCCTGGCTCTCTACTCAAACTGGAGCTCCTCAGCGCCGCCCGCTCGGGCCCGGGGTCCTGCCTCCCTTCCCAGTGCGGTTCCCTGGAGTTGAAAAATGAAGCCTGCGACTTTCGGGTCTCGGCTCAAACCTGGATAGGGTGTCCCTAGGCGATGGAAAGCTGGAGGAGTTTTCTCAAACTAGGACTGTCTGGAGGCGGAAATGGCCCCACACCTGGCTTCCCCCCAGTAGTTGCTGAGGGTGCGGTTTTACGCGGAGACGTTTCAGGGGCTGGAATCTTGGGGTGAAAAAGGCGATTTATGAACCAAGAGAACTCTGGGATTCCAAAACCGAAGAGATCGCACTCCTGGGTTAGCTTTGCCGCCCCGCCAGTTGTGAAACGAGAACACGAAGCGCTGGGGTCAAATCCCGAGAGACCCAGAGGCTCAAAATTGGTGGACAGTGGTGTGCCCTGAGGGGGGGAGGGGGCCGTGATTCCTGGGCCCCTCGAGATGGGCTTCTGTCCCGAAAAAACCCACAACTTCCAATTTGGGATCCCCACAATCTCTAACCCATGGGTTTCTGCAGGCGGGTGGGGCTCAGGCCAGCAACCCACAAACTGGACTGGCAAGCTCTGAGGTGCCCTGCAGCTGGGGAGGGGCGCCACTTGCATTTTCGGTGTTATAACAGATCCCTGTTCCCACAGAGCCTCCTGTCGCTGAGCACTGACCTGCCATCCAGCCAAGGAGATACTGAGTCCAGCCCAGGCTGGGCCTCTGGACTCTGGAGCCTCAGCTCAGACTCCAGTCCCGCTGGGGTCGCTGCCCACCTGCCTGGCCGTTCTACCAGCCTGGTAGAGGGTCGAAGCTGTGGCTGGGTGCCCCCACCCCCAGGCTTCGCACCCCTGGCTCCCCGCCCAGGCACTGAGCTGTCTCTCTCACCTACTTCCACCCCCACCACCTCATCCAGATACAAGACTGAGCTATGTCGAACCTTCTCAGAGAGTGGGCGCTGCCGCTATGGGGCTAAGTGCCAGTTTGCCCATGGTTTGGGCGAGTTGCGCCAAGCCAGTCGCCACCCCAAGTACAAGACAGAATTCTGCCACAAGTTCTACCTCCAGGGCCGCTGCCCCTACGGCTCACGCTGCCACTTCATCCACAACCCCAGTGAAGACCTGGCCTCCCCTGGCCACCCCCATATGCTGCGACAGAGCATCAGCTTCTCAGGCCTGCCCTCTGGCAGAAGATCCTCGCCGCCACCAGCAGGCCTGGCAGGCCCTTCCTTGTCCTCATGCTCCTTCTCGCCCTCCAGCTCCCCACCACCACCACCTGGGGACCTTCCACTTTCACCCTCTGCCTTCTCTGCTGCCCCTGGGACTCCTGTGGCCCTAAGGGATCCCACACCAGCCTGTTGTCCCTCCTGCCGAAGGGCCACCCCTAGCAGCGTTTGGGGACCTGTAGGTGGCCTGGCCCGGAGCCCCTCTGCACAGTCCCTGGGATCTGATCCCGACGATTATGCCAGCAGCGGCAGCAGCCTGGGAGGGTCTGACTCACCCGTCTTCGAGGCTGGAGTTTTTGGGCCACCCCAGCCTGTAGCCCCTCGGCGACT